AGGCTAATTTGCAGTATACAAATATTTTAAATTAAATCATTTATTTTTATTCTTTTATAAGAATGTAAATTAATCTTATCTAGACACCAAGTAGCTGACAAGATAAGAGTTTGGGATAAGAGTTTTTTTAATAGGTTTGACAATTTTGTTAAGCGCGTTCGAAATTTTAAATTACTTAAAAAAAACCCTGTCCAAATGATAGGTAATTTCAGTTTTTGTTAAAGAAAATTCGATGAATTAATATAATAATGATGAGTCATCACATAATTTCAGCCAAATGTCCATTGCGGCTTCGCTGGAAGTGTATTCGATTATATGAGATTCATATAAACCTTCCTCTTGAATCACTCTAGCTGGTAAAAAAAACCGCATCAAGATCCGTTCAAGAGGTTTATATTTAAAGATCTAAGCATACATAGGGACAGATAGACAGCGGGACGACTTTGTTTTATACTATGTAGTGATATTCCCAAAAGAAGAAGCCGAGCAGTTCTAATTCACATGATCACCATCAACATCCGTGAAACCATCACTATCACGCGAAATGACGGAATTTTTGATCTTCCCATGCAATAAATTCATGTTTCCCGTGTAGTACTAAACAACTTCATCGTCCCATTTGAATCAAATGTTTTTGAGATTCATAAAATCTATCTTAGTTAAAAAAGTGTTATCATCGTTTTATGATGGTAACTTACGAACGTATTAATTTCTATGTAAAATTTTGACATTTGATAAGAACGCGCAAGCGTCTATGTTAATAAATATATTTTGATTTTGATGTCGGTCGCCAACAGTGATCTCGATTCCTTGCATACTTTTGACGAAATAAGGGCCGATAATAGCACTAAAACCCACATCGTAATGCATCTCCTGTTGCTATCTTTAGCTACAAACCGAGCAATTTTGTTTGTTACAAAGCTAGGTGCGAGAGCTAAGCTAGGAGGATGATGATGATTTTAACAATTTCAACGCATTGTTGAACCGTTTGTTTCCATGATGAGATGTCGAAATAAGTATTCTTATCAAACTTGATAGGATGGCCACAATACGCCATTGACTTTGTCAACACATCCCAGTATAAAAACTCTTTTAAAATGGAGTACTTTTCATCGTTACGTGTAAATTGTACAACTTCCGACAGCATCTATAAGTTCTCTGGGGAAAATAATTAATTTATGGTGTATTTAAAAAAAAGCTACCGACTTCTCTAAAATAAACCTTAAAATTAGCAGTAGATGTAGGGTGCTAAATGAATTCACGAATTAATTTCATTACATTTGTAATTTAATATTTTACTTTACTGATTCTATAGTGAACCTGGGGTCTAAGCAGAATGTACATTATCTTGAACTTTATTGATGAGCTCCGATTGAATGTGAATGAATTTAATGACTAGTAATAACCCAAGCTGGTGGTAAAACAAAACTATATTATCTATTCTTAACATAAGTCAGTGTATTTTTTCTTTGAGAAATTTTTTTTTTTTTTTTTTTTTAATGGTTGGAGTGATCGATTTTGTAGATGAGGGTTGCCGACTTCTTTAACCAAAAATGCTTACCGTCAGCTATGTGTATGATCGTTAATATCGCTCGGACATATTTATCTTTTATCATGACTTTTGGGGGGTGAAGTTGCCAAATTACCGTTCCTTTAATTGGACTGTGTTTTTAACAGTATGAGTGTCACATTGTATTAATTTACATAATTAGAATTATCAATTAATTACGATTGTAAGGGTAAAGATCCGTCGAAAATGTGGCGGATACGCATACGGATATCCGGAACATCTACTACGGGCGACTCTGTACAGAGAAGGCCTTTGCCCAGCAGTGCAACTTTACTTTGCAACTTTACTTTTTTCTAGAAAACTTTTATATCATGCATGCGCTATGTGAATTATCTTTGATTATTTATATTTTTGTTAATTATTTAACATATGCGTTGGTAATGCCACGCAATTGTCTTCTCTGTTACGAGAATGGGCAAGTCCGTCCGGGTAAGTACCACGACCTCACAGAAGACCGACTTGACGTACCGACCGTCTGTGCTTCGACTTCTGAGTAAGTTAGCCGAGGCCCACAAAAAGGTGACAACGCATCTTCATCCCTATGGGTATTGCATATGTCCATGTGTGGAGGTAAATGGTATGTCTCAACGCCACCATTCCCAGCAGGGTAAATGGTGACACATCGTGCTAAGCACTTTTCCTCAAGTTTATAAGTATAAAGTACTAGCTGCTACCCGCGACTACGTCTGAGTAGAATAAGCTGAAGGCGTAACATTCAGACAGAAAGACAGATATATATGTATATAAATTATAGCCTATGTCTTATTCTGATGTATAGCTATTGTAAAGTTTCATTAAAATCCATTCTGTAGTATTTGCATGAAAGAGTAACAAACATCCATCTATACATACAAACTTTCGCCTTTATAATATTAGTAAGGATAGTAAGGATGACAGATGGATAATCACAAAAGAAACAAAATGAAATATTGAAGCTTTTATTTACAAAATTACCAACATATAATATCACTTTGGGAATTTGCAGTTTTACTTGCATAACACTATAAATATAATTACATAACTGGTATAAAAACAATGATGATTACAATTCCTCGATCTTATTCCCATGTTTATATATATGTATGGATATATGAATGTATGTTTATATTTTAAGTTATGGTAAAAACTTAAATGTTTATTGGAAGTACGATACAAGTTATATTTATAATGACATAATAAAGACAATATTGTTCAATAAAACTAATAGCTTAATAATTGAATATCACTGATGAAAAAAACCTCGTAACTGGTCTAATTTAGAATTCATTAAGGAACTTAAGCATGATTTCGAACATGTGGTCATAATGTTTATTTTAATATCATTTATAACTCTAATATATTTAAATCAACCACTTTAATGAAAGTCAATATAATAGTAAAGCTTTTAAAATAGGTTTGCAAATATTATCCATTAAACATAAGATTGAAGAATTAACAAGTAAGAATTCAAACAAAGTGAACTACTTAAAACTATGTGAGTAGATATCTTAATTAAAATATACAGCATTTATGAAAATTATTTTTTGGTTCGTTGACAAGATTCAGATTTTACGTTCAAAACAAACGACATGTTTACAAAAGTATGCCATTAAATATTAGTACAGTCGTCGAATTGGTCCAGTGTCTAATAAAAGCTTATTAAAAAATTATATACGGTTATAAACAGGAATAATTTTTATTGATGTTTGTTATGTATGTTCGTTACAGCAACTTCAAAATAAATATGGAAGTGAACGGTTACTTTGGCATTTATCTATTACTACAAAGCGTAATTTTACATTTATTGTCACAGTAAGAACAAACTAATAAAATAGGAGCAAAATTACACCAGGTTACAAATTAAAGGCATTTAGAAAAAAATATGCCTTTTAAGCCTTACATTTTATTTACAACAATGTTATGTTAAAATTTAACATGTAACAACAATTAATGATTAGTATAATCTAATAAAACTTTAAATAGATATGTTTTTAAATTCACCTCTGCATAAAACTTAATGCATTAAAACAAATGTAAAACTTAAATATGTTACACACATTAATGTACGATTCTTCATAGTAGAATTCATCATTACAATTAAAATATATATCACAATAACAAATAGAATGAATAAAAAGTGTAATAGTGATTATTCAGTCAGTTACCATAATAGAACGTTATGCAAATGCGATACGATTAGTTTTGTATTTTAACATATTTAAATACAAGAAACTTCTCACATATTTCGTGCAAAGCATGCGTTTTGGAAACTTTAATGAAACTGTGTCAAAATCTTTTAAACGTATAAAAGATTTTTTATGAACAAATTAACAGTTAATGCCCTAAATTAGTTTCATAAAATGTACACTAGCCTTTGACGGTAATATTACATCATTAACTTTACTGGTTCGCAAAATAGACATTTAAAATTATAATGGAAGACGAAATCAATGTATAATACGTAAGTCCCAAAATTTTCAAAATAATGGGTCGTTATTGTAATAAACGTTAGCACGCGTATAAAATTGTATTTTATTTTAAAAAAGTATTTACAATACAAATCTAGCTACTTCTATGGCGTTGCTCGAAGACCCTTGAATATAGATTAGAATTAGGACCATGATTATTATTTCAGATACTCATGTAGCAAATGACATTAGGAATTACATCACAATGCTTTAAATTAATATAAAATTAGTATGGCGGTCATATTAATGTAAACGGTAGATTAACAAAAAGAAGTGATCACTTTATGAAATTGATATAAAGTTATCATCTTAACTCTTAATTCTAAGTTTTTGTTAATTCCTATAGTACTCTGAATGTAGGCATTCTTAGAAAAACAAGAATGGTATAGACACGTGATTTTTGATATGACTGCTTATTAGAGACTAAATTGTTTAAATCTGATATTGAAAACAGGTTTTGCATCATAATAGAATTCTTCAAATAATATGCTCAATTCCATGAGAAATAATTTCAATGTTCTATTACAATAGTATTTTAAAATAATGTTATGTAGCCCATAAAACATAAAAATAAAGATGTAATTTATTACATAAATTCAGCTTACATAATTATAAATAAAATGTTAAAATGTTAACATGAAAATTGAAAAAAAGATTTCTTATTAAACGTGCCATTTCTATAGATGAAGCTGAAACAATTTTCCTAGGAGGCTGAAATTGCTTCTTTGTATTTTACTCAGTTCTTATCCGTCTCAAGTAAAAACAGGGTTGTTGGTAAGAAATATTTAAAGCTCTAAAACTCAAAAATGTAAAGATTCTTACAAGTTCTACGATTGTAGCAGATTCAAAATAACGTATTCATATAAATATGTATATAGGTACTGTTAAACTTACATTTGGCAATTGACATCCTATTTAATTCAATCCATGATAAATAGAGGCGAATTGCTGTGTTCAGTATCGTTGACACGGGTCACAGTTCATTTTCTACTCTGCTTACTCATTAAAGTTCGAACTCTTTTCAAATTTGTTATTGTTATTTCGTCGTTCGGTTGTAACTGCAAAGCGCGGCGATAGGACGTGGCCGCGGCCGCGTATTTGCCGTTCAAGTGAAGTATAGCGCCAAGGTTAGAATGGTAAGCTGCGTCCTGTAAGAAAACAAGTTCATTTATTGAAATGTACAACTGCAACGGTCGCAGTGAAGAAGCGAGACGACAAAAAAATAACCAATATATGAACGACTCTCCATACAATGGAATGCAGAAACATCCATCAACGTCGTGAACACTAGCAGGATTCATCTGATAATGATACTTCTTGATTTTACGCGAATATTATACATATTAAAAGAAACTAGTTTACGGATTTTATCGCGTTTTTATTTTGTTTTTGAAATTTCGAAATCTTTTAGCGTTCATGGTCCAAAATCCCCTGTAAACACTAGTTTCATTTAATATGATAATGAGAGACTCTTGAATATTTAAAGTCAACAACAATTAAAAGGTTGTTATTATTCACATATGAGAAATAGCGAAAAAAATTGAAAGTTAGGCCTTTTTAAATTTGTATAGCGCTAATTTCTGCACGTAAGATTTGACATTAATTTGTTTTAGAAAAAAGGACAAAAGTTTTTGGTGCGGCGGGAATTGAGCCCATGTCTTCTGGATTAACGCCTAGATGCTTTAACCTCTATGCTAAACGGCTGATCGCCACACGAACGCCTCACGAAGAAAATCTTAACCATCTTAACGAAGAAAATCTTGACCTACATGGTTTTTTCGCAGTTCAAGCAATATTTGACGCATCTCATTAACGGTGGTAGAGCCACGCAGCAGCCTCGGCTGTTGCACGAATGGGCAGGCTCGTCCGGGTAAGTACCACGACCTCACAGAAGACCGGCGTAAAGTGGAAGTATGAGAAATACTTTCGCGTTTCGTCTGGTGAGTGAGGTAGCCGGAGCCCAATTTTCAAAAAGGTTGTCAACGCATCTGCAAACCCTGGGGTGTAGCAGATGTTCATGGGCGGCGGTATTCACTTAACATCAGGTAAACCGTCAGCTCGTTTGGCAACTTATCACATAAAAAAAAAATCTATTGTTGCATCCTTTACAGCATACAAACTACAAGTTTTAATGTTTAATCGTAAGTGCGGATATTAGTTGTTTAAAAATTAAATTTCATATGGCAATAGCGCTATCTGGCATTCGAATTATCGGTGTAAATGGATATATGAAATTGTTTATATGCTGTAGAGGATATAACAATAGGTGCGCCAAGCATTACTTCAAATGTGAAAAAAAATGTAGATGATAGGCGAGATTTTCATTGGTGTGGCAATAAGTCGATTAGCTTAATGGTTAAAGCGTTTGGGCGCGAATCCAGAAGACATGGTTTCGATTTCCGCAGCGGCGGCACACTTGTCGTGCCTTTTCTACATATTTTAATGAGGCCTTTTTTGTTATATGTCACTTTTTTCATAATATAAGAGTAAAAATCTCATTGACTTGTCTTTAAAAGATTTGTCTCGATAAATCAATAAAATCAAGTCACCGGACTATAATTGGTTACAAACAATTTAGGATCTATTATAATGTTATCGAGTCTCAAATTATTCTGTCAATTCTACTGAGGGAACAAGGTAACAAATACCGGTATTAAGTAAACGACACATACTTAAACATGCATTTATTTTGTAAAAAGATATATTTTACGATTGTAAAAACTTAGACTGGAAAAATACTATGTTCATTTAAGTTCCAGTAATGGTAATTGAACCAAAACCCAGAGTGCTGGAGATATATGCATTATCACAAATCGGGTAGTACTACGTTGAGAGCGAAACCCGTATAAAGGCTAGTTTACACAAGTTTTTTTGTATTATAGTTAAAACTCCGCGTACTGGACCTACCTCGGGATTCAGTTCAACGGCCCTAGCGTACCAACGCTCTGCAGAACGACAGCGGCGAGCATCCCTCAACGCTCTCGCTGCAGCAGCGGCGCGCGCGCCATCTAGCGGTGAAAGCTGCGCTGCCCTTTCCAATTGCTCCGCCGATTCGCGTAGTCTCCTCTGCGACCTCAAGAACATACCTACGATGTGATTACGAAACGTTAGTTAATAGCTGTGTAGACAGGATTACTTGTATCTATTGTAAAGTCACGCAAGTACCTATTTGGTTCCGCAAAAGAACGACCAGAGTTAGAAGTGCTTTTGGCTTAGCTTTTTTTTATCCTAGTAGTGAGGTAAACGGATGCTTATCATCTAAAGGCACGCGTCAAGAACCACTCTGATGCCCATGAAAGGTGACCATAGCTTACCATTTTATGATCTACTGCTCGTCTGTCACCTTGTCTGATTAATATGTTCTAAAAGATGTAGTATCTTTTGGCCATAGTCAAAAGATAAAAGTTTTAATTTTTTTTGCTATACCTTATCGCCACAAGAAACAGTGGGAGAATTGCTAAGCGTGAAATGCTTGGAATTACCTATATTGGTAACATTTGTCTTAAAAAGAACAATGTCAGATTATAATTATTCCGATTATTATTAATATTTATAAATGTATATTTTACCGTAAGTAGCGTGTGAAAGCAGTTCGAATATGTTCCGAGTACCCAATTTTATAATTGTGACAGGGCCACTTAACAGCCTGCGCTGTTGTACAAATGGGTAGGTCCGACCGGGGAAGTACCACGACGTCAATGAAGACTGGCATGAAGTGGAAACGTCATAATTCTACGTTTCGTCTGACGAGTGAGGTAACCGGGGCCCACTTTATTAAAAGGTGACAGTGCATCTGTAACCCTAAGGGTGTTGTAGACGTCCATGGGTGGCGGTTATCACTCATCAACTGAACTACCAGCTCGCTTGGTACCTTCTCATAAAAATGTTCATTTAAATATATCACCATCTCACATAAAATTTCGTACATAAACTCAACTTAATTTTTGGTGTAACTAATGAAACAAATAACGAACGTATTCTGATCTCTGTAATGAGAGGAATCGATTCAATAAGAAAAAATATTTATGTCACTCAAATAGGAATTGGCACTGTCATTGACATCTCACAATCCATATGTGGTAATAAGCCAATAACAAAATCATTGTAGTCATTATCTTGGGGCACAGATATAATATTTGGAATAAGGTAGCTGGGGAAATGACAATTATTATGTATAATGGGCAAATGCTTACCAAATTGATCCCTGACTGATGGATCATCGGGAGCCAACGTCACGGCTCTTTTGAACCACATCTCAGCTTCTAAAGCTCTACTTGTCTGAAAATAAAATAATGTGTTAATTCACTAGTTATCACCGCAATTTAACTAAGAAAATTGATTAAAATTTAATCAAATTACATTTCTGGCTAAAATCTGAGCCAGGGTGATGTGTGTGCCCAAATCCTTTGGTGCAACAGCCAACGCAGAGAGTATGCTATTTTCTGCCTGGGACCATTGCTGCAACTGTATATAAATATCTCCAGCCATTGACAAGACACTCTGAAAATAAAAGCCATCTTCAGATGTTCCGACGGACAAAGTAATTATATTGTTTATGTTTTATATAATTCTTATTGTTTATGTTTTCTAAAAAAGATTAAATAAATTTTACAGCATAACTTGACATTGTTACAGAGCAGGGAAAAGGCATACATGTCTCGTCCATCCCACAACCGGGGAATTCGTGTCTGGCAGTATCTGCAGCGCGTCTTTGTATGCGGACAGGGCTTTGTGCCAGTGGCCACGTTGGGTGTGCAACGTCGCGAGTTGCACGAGAGCTGAGACCCTCGCCGCGTCGTGCTCTCGTCGATCTCGGACCCTTAAGCCTTCTACCCGGGCTCCGGTACGCAGAGCGCTTGCCGCCTCGGCCAGCCGTCCGTCGGCCATTAGCGACGTACCGAGGTTCACGTAAGCCACTATAATAATTTAGCAAAATTAACGTACGCGCTTGCTTGAATATGCATACTTCGTGCGAAGAATGAACTAGACAATTTTAAAACTCCAATACCAACTTGATAGCGCTATAAGTTTTCACACTCTAGTAAGCGTAGAGTAATACTACTAAAAAATAACAAGTCTTACACCATTATAACAAAATTTCTTTTTTTTTTTTTGTATTTTGCTTTAAATCTTACCGTAAAGTTAGGGAACAAAGAATATATGATGTCATATGTCCATTAAAGAGCAGTGAAATTGTTATTAATGACGTGGGTGTATTTTTACGAACAGGTTTATTACATAATCAAAGAATTATTTGTTTAAAAAAAATGTTTTGGTACACGATTAATGTGACCTGATTTATTTTGCAAAAATTCTAAAACACATTCGATATTTTGTGTTAAAATATAAAAAAAGTAAAAATGGAGAATTAACAAAAATATTTGAAACTTTGTTTTTGATTATACTCACATGCCATTGACGGCCTAAAATAAATTGCCCTCTCAAAACTTGTGATGGCTTCACCATATCGTCTCTGGTTTTGTAGAAGGATCCCTCTGTAATAAACCGCGTTTAAATATTTCACGTTCATTGCAGAAGATATTCTTCTCTTAACGGGTGATGCTATAATGCAAATATATTCTATCTTAACATTCCTTAATGGTAATCTCTTTAATCAAGTAAAAGACAGTCAATGTATTTACTTTTCGGCTAAGTAAGAGATGATTTGACATGCATCTTATTTAAGTTAAATTTGATAAAAATATTACCAATGTTGAGAAAGGTTCAATTACGCAGAAAATGGTTAAATTATCTATAGATACTAAGCACAATGTAACTTATTTTATAATCGTTACATTAAACAATAAATTATTTTACTGTTTACCGGGTGTTTTGAGCAAAAAGTTTCGTTGGTATTAAAAAAAACACGGAAATATCGAAGTTCATGTTGACATTTGAGCTACAGAAGAAAAAGAGGCAGCTCAATATTACATAGGTACGGCGGTAGTGCAATATTGTCCGCATGAATAATGCAGGCTCCACAACGAGCTGAGCTCAACGTGGCTCAACCTACACTAATGAGAACCGTCCAACCGGGCGGACCTATTGTGCCTCGCCTACGCCAACAATAATTTGTTACTAATTCCCTTCTAATTATTGTGACGTGCTTCGCAACATTGCCGATATACTTTCATTTGTAACGATTAAGGAAAAATGCATCGTGATATCAATGTATTCTTTTGTTAGTCATTTTATTGGGGCTAACTCCTAACACCGATTAAGATGATATAAAAGATCATAGAATTTCTTATAAAACTTTATTACAAAAATTGATATAATTAAAATGATACTGATAATATGATATTTATGATATGATAATTAGGTATGATATATTGAGAACGCGTGGTTTTCTTTATGGCCGAACGTGAACTGCTTCTTTGTCGCGGTATATTTTAATGCTTACAATGTTGATGGACTTTAGGTAAAAAGTGCAAACAAAGCTGTTTGGTACAATAGTGAACCGAACAAATTTAAAAAAATCTATGTGAATACTTTTTTGTACTGTTGATTCAAGTATGTCATTCTTTATTTTAATTTTGAGTCAATAATCAGTAATCAATTGAAAACAGTGTAAATTTAATAAAAAGTTTAATATTTATCGAAAATATAAAATTGTTTGTACTAACGTTGTAAACAGATTACACTTTAGATCTATTTAAATCTTCTGGCTGGACCTTCTTCATCAGGTGCTCAACTAAAACGGACCATTTGGCATAATTTAGGAAATTTGAAGATACGTGTACTTTCTAAAGAAAGTAAAGACCCTCTTAATTTTTGCTCTTTAAGATATATGAAACAATAAGATTAAAAAGATACAAATAAATTTGGTCCTGCACTTTGTTTAAAGTAATTTGGCCGAATAACGAATTTCCAGATTTAGAAATACGCCTGTCATGCCTTTCAGACTCAAGCCTTTTTATATAATTAAGAGCTATTACGGGAAAATAAACAAAGTTTGTAATAATTGTGGTGCTAAAAATATCAAATTAAAGGTTGGAGAATATCTTAACTATTTAAAAGTATCGTCTCGTCAGTATCGTAAAAAAACTGTAACACGTCAGATTTATAGGAAAGTAACATTTCTGATTTTTTTAATAGCCTATAATTTTATCCAACAGATGCCGGAACGTAATTATATGTTTTGATTTATAAAGAATCTAGCTCAATTACATATTTTAAAAGATGACTAGGATATTTTAACCTTATAATTATAAATTAATATAATAATGCAGAACAATGAAAGCTTTATATCAACCAATAAAATCATAATTATAACCGAGCCAATCTTCCAAGAATCTAAACACGACTAATATACATTCTCTACCGAGAATCTAACATATTAGCGTCGACAAACGGCATATGTGAAATCCGACCTTGGCCTTTCCGATGTATAAAAATACAGGCCCATTATTAGAATGTATCACATTTCTATTTTTATTACACAGCAAATATATTGAAATATAAATTTTGTTACATTTCCTTTGTTTAGAGGTTTAAGTTACAAATGATAAGTAAATTATTGTTTTATTCGGCACATTTGAGCTGGAACGCAAACGTGCTCGGATAAATTGAAAGTAATTTATACAGCGAAAGCTCACGAAACGCCTCGGATGCCTCCATGGGGTACATAAAGTCACGCGATACCGACATTCCACGATTCAACTGAGGTGACAAATTATAAATAAAATTAATGATTACTGGCATCGTAAAATTATAACCTACAAATTATGAAGATAGATTGCACTCACTGTATTCGATAATAGAGATAAATTTGTAATAAGCTGTGCACTTTAAGATAAAAGGAATTTTACCACTATAAACGTAATTTGTACATGTTTATAACGTCTTTTAAAGGAGTTCAAATTAAAGTTCTTATTCATGTATTTCCTAGCATTAACATGTTTTTATTCTTAATTTTTTATACAATAATTAGATAATTGTGTTCTTCTTTGCGTTATTACAAATATTTTTTTTATTTTTGCTTGGTCTCCTAAAACGTAAATCCTAAAATAATGCCTCGTCTACTTATGTAAACATGACGCAATACTGAGAGTGTTCAGTGAAACAGTTAATCTTATCGTTTTACATAAATCTATTCTACGAGCATGCTACAAGGCATTTATAAACCAAATTATGTCGCTAACATGTGAAATACAAATGCTTTGCAAGTTCTCGCAAGTCTAGCCGGCGAGAATGTTAAATATGTGTTTGTGAGCAAACACGAGTTTAATCTGCGCCTTATCGCCATCACAACGCAGCGCAAGTATTGCCTGACGCTTCGAATTATTTGCGTACGTGTTGAGAACATTGCTTGTATGTTTAAATGGAACATACTCTTATTGAAAAATGGCGAAGAGAATTGGTGTAGCTCGCTTTATTGCTTTTAGTCTTATTTAAACCTGTGTTGCTGTTATGTACTTTTATTATTTAAAACATGTATTCAGACATTTGGAAACAACGTACAAAACAACAAAATATTTATTTTTTTATTTATTTTTAAACTTCATGCACAGAACACAGTACATAGGCGGACTTAAGGCTGACATCATTGCTGACAGCATGACTCGATTACCTTTGAGAGGAAGGGCAGAATATAAATAGGACGATAATGGGTAGGGAGAGAAGGATTAGAAATCTTTTGGACACGTCTCATCCAAGCTTTACGCCATATGGCAGGAAAGGACTTAGAGTTTAATGAAAAGTTTATGATATGGCATATAGCTGGGCGTAAAGGGTCAAGAATGGGAATAATGCGTAATCCAACAGCGTTGGATTTGATAGTGAGGCTTGTTTTTTTATTTATTCAGAAGAGACAGGAGAAAAATTGAACGCATCAATATTGGGACGCATATGCAATAACCATACGCGACCTATCGAAGTAGAGGTAGAGAAATGGTGATTTAAATCATCCAGAGCGATAGAGATGGGGAGGTTTGATATACGCGCCCAGAGTCTCAAGGAACTTCCAAATACCAGCAGGAGATGATAAAGAAATGTTATCGAGGATATAACGGCGTTTGGCGTTGCGTATCATCTGATTACATCGATTTCTGACTAATTTTTACTGATACCAATTTTCATCGGATCGAAGTTTTTTAAATTTCCTAAAAGCACGGTCCCTACGTCCCATTGCAATCTGAATACCTTTAGTCATCCCTTTCAAAGAAGTTAAGGTTAAGGTTCCGCCGGCAGGCTGACACCATTATAAAGTTTGTCGACGTTTATCCTAGCCAAAGAACACACGTACAGAACCTTGAATTTTGGCTTAGGAGATTTTAGAATGTAGGATAGGTAAATTAAATGGTGATGAGAAAATCTAGGAGCAGTATATTTTCTATCCATACTAATATTATAAATGCGAAAGTAACTCTGTCTGTCTCGATTTCCAAAACTACTGAACCGATTTAAATGAAAGCTAGCTTTTAGATAGAAAAAAGTGTTTTAAAGGGTTGAAAAGGGGGAAGAAAAGTTGTATGAAAGTATTGTCATTTTCATAGCAACATAGAAGCGTAAAAATTTTATTTTAGGCTGTTACTTAGATATAAATAAATATGGCATTCAAGTTTGTAAAAATGTTACCACGCGTACGAAGTCGCGGCAAGCCAGTATTATATAAAGAAAAAAAAAATTGATTAGTTATACGTGTTTGGAATATGCTTTTGCAGAGAATCAACTTAAAGTAGAATTGACATGTACTCTACAATCGTAAACTTTGTATTTGTATTGATCCTTTGTGTAGATAAATACTTTGCGCTTGTGTCGATAGTTAGTACACATAATGAAACGTTAAATAAACAACGTACTATACAAGGTAAGCTGTGTCGCAATACTTCTCCCCACACAAATTCTCTAGCGACATGTACGTGCTCAAGTGATTTCTTGCCGCTAGAATTGGAATTACCTAATCTTTGTGTAAAATCGCAGTTCATTTCTCTTTCCATTTCTTTTACGAAAGTAATTTTCGGTGAGGGGATGAAACGTTCTCGAATTTAATTATTTCTTCCTCCGACATTAATGTATTCAATAGATTGAAACTTAATTTTTTTATAACATTTTCATCATCAATCCATTATCGAGCATTTATGTTAAATTGTGTTCATGTTAAATGTTATAAATTTTATTTGAAATGTTCATACACAGAACTTATTCAATACTTTGTAAATTATGAATGATTTCTTTAAGCATTAATATTAACACCCAAATATTCTTCAAAATTACGGTAGTTAATACGGACTATTGTTATAGAAGAATATTTGTGTCGAATCATATTATTATGCAAATCGTCTCATTTTGCACGTTCAAATCATCACATTTGTCACTGTTGCGGTTTTAGATGAATGTGAATATGTCGAGTGCTAGGTTGTCATGTGTCATGCGCGTCACTTTAATATTAAAAGAACGATGACATTCTAAACGATTCTGAACGATTATGGGAAACAAACTGTTTAACATTTTAGTTAAACAATATTTTATATTACATAATATACTAGTTTCTTCTCGGACTCTAAAACATTTTAAAAATTGATATAATCTACTTTAATATAGATGTGGGGTAAGTAATTACCTATTCATAAGTAACTAGCGACCCGCCCGGCTTCTCACGGGTGCAATGTATTATACATAATAACTCCCTCTTGAATCAGTCTATCTAGTAGAAAAAAGTCAAGATCCGTTGCGTAGTTTTCAAGATCTAAGCATCCATAGGGACAGGTAGAGTGGGACAACTTTATTTTATACTATGTACATCATATATATCAATTTTGTGTAGATCCATATTCACCTAGACTGACAAAAATGTTCCAAAACAGTTTTTCTTGAACAAGCTTTTGTTTTGTGGTCCGGCTTAAGCAGCAATTAATTACGAATTTTGTATATTACAATTAATTTTTTTTTAAATATTGATACACGGTAAGACGAGATAAATTTATTATATTATTTTGCCTATTGTAAGGTGAAAATTGTCACGTATAGTTTTTATAACATATTTTTTTTTCTTACCATTCTCCGCTTTTATCCTTTTTTGCTATTAACCAATAGGTAAAATAAGTTTGCCTATCTAATTTAACAATTGAATTATTTATAAATTAGGTTGACTGAATTTGACCATATCTAAAATAGTTTAATATGTTTATAAAATATTTTTAATCATATACCGTAATACCATTTTTGACATTTTTAACTGGCTCGTTAAATATAGCTTTAATAAACCTATATTTAATAGAGCAGTTTAAACATATTAATAACAAATCAACATGAAGATTTTTTATATTCCAAAATTAGTTGAATTTGGGATGTGTATACTGCTTCTCACTCAATCAATTAATTGTGCAGTTAATTTATATGCATTCATACGTGGTAAATTAGGTTCCTTAAAGTTTCCTTTTTATTTATTACATTGAGGTTGTAATTGGACTTGCATCAGTAAAATCCATTCTGTGTGGAAGCCATCATCTTACATTGATATTACCAACAAATGATTCCTATTATGAATATCTATCTATATTTATCTAAATGTCATATCATTCTATAATATTTTGTAGTTTTTTCAAAACATGAACCAAAAGAAACATCAATCGAAACAATCCATTGTAAAAGAACACATTTTAAAACGCTTGCAATCGAATCTCTGAAAGCGTTTTGCATTATAGGAACGGATAGCTTGACGTTAATTTGTGAAACTGCACGGAAACCCGACGCTTAGGTGGCGGGATAGAGAGTAGCGTACCCGATTAATTCAAGAACTCAGTGCCTCGGCAAATTAATGGGACAAGCAGTCGTGTTGCGTGCCTATTGATTGTTTTGTAATTCTAGCGCTTCTAACAGGGGAGCCCGGACTTATTTGTTCTGCTAACAATTGGCTGAATAGAAAGTTTATTATCTAATTAAAATAAACCATAAAGTATCAGAAAAAGTCGCTGTTTCATGCTTATAAAATGAAGTAGTATATGTATAGTAGTATGAAAATATGAAAGTAATTTTATAAGTTTGTGATACTCGTTTGAGTCTCTCTTTATGAAGTTGGATTCTTTTCATCAATCATTAAAAATTTTGAAAATTAAATGAAAGAAAATTTAAAAATGACAAAAGTACATTTCACAGGAAAAAAATGTTATCTACTTACAAATTGTAGTGCACATCGGCCATGTTTGGTCTGTATTTCAGCGCTCGCTCGAAAGCAACTTCCGCCTCTTCTATCCTTCCTTGTGTGGTCAGCACACTTCCTAGGTTGCCGTATGCTAAAATAAACGTTATAATAATGTATTATGCTAAAACAACTTATAAAGTTACCGTAAATATTATCGCGTACTTTATTCTTGCTTTTTAATTCAATTAATTTAACAAAACGTTGTCTAGTCCCAAACAAAGCAAAACCTTGTGTTGCACACTAGGTAACTGATAAAATAAATGAAGTAAATAAATACATATTATAGATACATAAACACCCAGACACTGGAAAAACACTATGTTCATCACGCAATATTTTTCCAGTTGTGGGGATCTAACCCACACCCTCCGGCGCAAGGGACTGGTTCGCTTTCCACTGCGTCCATCGAGTCGTCGATGGACGCAGTGGAAAGCGAACGAAGTATCCCTTCTTAATAACATAACGATTGAAAATAATCAATATGTAATAAATAATACAGAAATCAACATATGTATCTATATATCATTCAAATTTTAAAATTATACCAAAATATATAAAGAGGTAAGAAAACAAAACATATATTATTTTGGGAGTTAACAAAATTATTGCATATAAGGGCTTTGAACTTTAAACGAAGTATAAATACTTAGAAAATACTAAGATATTTAAAATAAAGTCAGTAATTACAAGAAAAACTTAATACATGCAAGTCTGATTTAAAGTTTCGTGGCATAAAGGAAAACACCTTGCATAAAGGAATCCGTTATCAGATATGACCGTGCAAAGCTGGTTACTGACACTAACGATTCTAATCTCTCAGACGCTCTAGTCGGCGACTCCTACGTAAAGATAAAGTCGATAAACCTGAGCTTAAAGAGGAAAAGACTTAGTAGATATCATCGCTTTGGAAGCTACACACCTACGAGATGAGGGAAACTTCTAAGAGATATACTTTATTCTCTTTAATAATGTTAAAATATTTATATTCTACATCTTTTACTTTTTACAGTAAGAATTTTAAATATGCTCTTTTGGCAAATCCCGTTTGAATATAAGAGATTTAAGCATATTGTGATATTTTTATTATGCTTATAAACTTCATAGACAATCGTATTTCTAAAATATATTACAATATGTTATTTAAATATTAAATACATATTCGAAATAAGATTAAGATATGATTTAAAATCACACATACAATTTTTAATCTTTTTGAAATACATTTATACTAATAACCTACATAATAAAAAGTAAGATTAAATGTTTATCACCCTCAATGAACTAGCCTTGTTTATACAGACTCATTCACTTGTAGCTTCAATATATCCGCTATTGCGACAAAAGTTGAATTCGATAAAATGCCAGACTGTACTGATTACACTCCACTATCTCTACCCTAACCAATTTGTAGCAAGGACAGCTTGTGATTGGTCTGTTTCGAATATCCCATTGGGACAAATTGGATCCAATTAGCCTTTAGTGCGAGGTGAAAACAGAAGATTTCCATAAAAAGATTATTCGGAACTAAGCACGCTTAAAATTGTTGAAAATGAAGGGGAATTTTAAAACTTTAGTAATGGCCTTTCAGAATGCTTGTTTAAATCACATTACACCTTTTTAGATTAAAGGATGTGCTTTGTGATCTTGTGAACTTCGTTTTGCGTGCACCCTAAGAAGTATAATTTATATATGTGAACATTGTCCACTGTTCAAAGAGAAAAATCGTTAGTAAAATTAATACGGAAATATTTCTTTGACCATAACTTTCAAAAATTATATTTTTATAATTTTGTCAGCAGTTCCAGAACAGTAAATTCTGAACAGATTTCACCGTTATTTTATTGCATACACATTTTGTTTATACTCCAATCAAAATGAAATAGTATAAAATAAGGCATCGAGTTGGGGTTGGGAACCGATGTAAAATGAGAACCTTCGGCTGAAACTTTTGCTTTGCGCAAAAGTTTGTGACGTGAACACGAGCTTGACGCGGTCTCCCTTGGGGAATACATGCATGTTTAATGGCGTCCTAGAAAGGTCAAGAATCTTTCCGTGAGTGGAAACACTGAATACATTAAAAGCTCTCCAGTAGATACTTAGAAGACCTCGCCTCGGCCGGGACGGCCTCTTTTCAACTTTGAGGAACTGACGCGGCGCGGACAGGTAGTTTGTAGCTGTCTCTCAAACAAATTAATTGTGTCTTAGTTTGAACAGAACGTGGAAGTGCTCCAAACAAAGTTTTGGAAGGTACAGAGTAAAATTACAAGCGCTGCCAACTTTATATTACTGCCTGAACTCGTTTTGTTACGCCGCGAAAACATTGCAAATTGTAATAATTTAAAAGTTTTCAACTCGAAACGTGATTTCCCAAATGATTAATGAATCTTCCTTGTTAGGTGGAATTTTCCCTTGCTAGCGATTTTATTTATTACGAATAATAATATTTAATGTCACAAAAGTGAGGTAACTTAATATTTGATACATTTGGGAAACTTAAACTTCATGAGTTGATATAATACTTACCTTTAGGGGGATTGATGTGTAGAGCGCTTCTAAAAAGACTCTCTTCATCATGCCAGTCCCTATTTCTACGAAGAGTGCACCCACACATTGTTAATAATGTGATTATCATCGCCAACAGGAAAATTCGGCATCTCACTTCATTCCGATTCCAGTTTTTCGTTAAGGCACCTGCCCCAAGTCCGAGCAGTAAACAAAATCCCACACTAGGAATATAAAGCACGCGTTCTGCCACGACGAAACCAACATAGAATAGGATATTACAAGCTGGCACGAATGGGAGCACCATAAATGCTATAAATACTATGATGGCTGCTTGTGGCGTGCTGTAGATATATTTTTTTGCCACCTGTACCTTCTCTTTAGCTTGAGCTTTTACACAAATGCAAGAGGAATTATGCATCGTCGTATTATTATTATTAACTGTACGGCAAACAGTTGTGTGCTCCACTCCAAGGGAATGTTTACAGCCGTTGCATGGACACATGTTTGTTTTATTGAATACATCTTTGTTTGTTAGAATATTCTTTCGTTCCAAATCGAGAACTTTTAACTGTCTTTTACAATTGTAACTCCATCTCTGTTTGATCTTCACGACGGGCTTCTTATAATATTTAATTTTCTTTTCATGAAATATTTTTATATGCATCAGAAGAGCGCGCCACGTAATTTTTGATAAGCCTATATAAAATAAAACTGAAGAAATATTCCTGGGATCTGATATTGAGGTTATACGTGGTATTGAATCCATTGACCAGTCGAAACTTAATTGAAATGGATACAGAAGAAGAAAAAAATTGAATACAGGCAGATAAGTGAAAGTGTAAAGACGTGTAATAAAAGAAGGATCTCGCGCTGTTGGATTATCTGCAGTTGCAAACGGCGATGGATTTCCCTTAAATTTTAACCTCCAGTAAAGCAGTATACAGCCTCCCGTTCCCAAAGCGAAGATGCTTCGCCATCGATACTGAAAAAAAAAAAATAATAAGATAAACATTTGGAACTGGTCGCTTACAATGAAAATAACCAATTATGGAATTCCACATTCTAACTCTCTGGGTACAGGTTAAATTTTAATTTGCGAGACTTATTTTTTTCGATGTGGCGTTCATTAGATTCATTGTAATAGCGACACAGAATCGTGTGTCGTACAAAATAAAAACAACCAAAAAAATTTCTTGTGAAAATTTTCGCCAACATCTTTTCATTTTCGCCCGGCTTAACGCACCACCCAAGAGAGTGGCCTTAAGACACTTAAATTAGTAGTTGGTTATGAAGCCACGTGTCGCGGCTGTTCATGGTTCGGAGAAATACAAGGACGTGACCATCCCCATGTCGATGTGCGTGAAACTCGGTCGCAAGAAAACAGCTTAAAACTCACAAAAATTACCTGTTAGCAGATTCGTATATTTACCGTTTATTCGTATTCTGATTGTAATTTTGGTTTGGAGTACCTGCTTGGAATACCTTCTCAATGGAAACCGCATGACTATCGGAGGCCTTTGAATAACACGTGTGGAGTGGTTCCGAAAAATGATAAAAAGGTTCAATGGATGATAGTTTCTGATTGTATTTAATATAGGACAGTAATAGAATAATGCTTTGAACCGAAAAGAAAAAAAACAGTGAAAAAAGCCAGTCAGGAGACCCATGTCTTTATTTCTGAAGAATTACAGATGAATTAACGAAATTAGGAGCAACGCGGCAAGAAAATGGTTCTTCTTTCTAAACACAATAGTACAGCGTTGCTTGAACACCAAATTAACATTGAGTGCAGATTTGTAAGTAAATAATTGCTTGCCTAAAATGGTAGATACAATTCACAAAAAGCATCCTCACAAAACAACCTCTACCTTCACGATAACGCGTCCACATATTCTGCTAATATAATTTGAAGGCCATAAATATGGAACTGCGCGGAACTTGCACCTAAGAACTTTTTTTACAACCGTAAATTAAAGATAAGCTTAGAGCTTTACGATTTACAATACGTTCTATGAGCTGTTCTAACTGAATACTCGACTGTTTATACTACTTCAAACAAAGATTACAACGAATACAGATATGATTTTAGTGGCTAATTGAACCGTTTATTACAGAAGTTTTTTTATGTATATGATAATAGTACGACCGTACCGAATCATAATAGTGACATTTAATAATGTCGTTAGAATAAATATACTATTGTTAATAAATAAAAAGTATAAGTAATATTAAAGTCACTACTTGTTATTTAACATTCACAATTGCATAACCTATCTCAAATATCGGGTGCTAAGAGATATACCAAAGATAGAATGGTAACCTCGACGGTGAGGAGCTGGTATTCAATAAAATCCAAGTGCAATATTAATAAGTTCATTTCTGTGTTTAATTTAAGAGATATTTTTGCATGCTTAAGAATGCTTACATGCTTAAGTAAAGATAAATTAAAAACTACAACACAAACATAAAAAAAATATTGCGTGTAATCTTACACGCGGTTGAATTAAAACTAAAACAAAATCTTAAAAATAATTCGTACCTATTTATTTTATTATTAATGTATTTATTAATAATGAGCCGTGATACCTCATTGTCTGGGCGCTCGTTTCTTTTTTTATATATACTCCAGCAACCTGACTTTGATCCCCGGTGCCAGCACCAATGACATTGTAAATTGTAGAAAAGTTGTCGAAAATATCTAGGCGGGTTATCCAGAAAATGAGTCTGCATTTTCTGGATGGAGATAAATTAATTGGTTTGCTAGGAAAATAAAACCAATAGTTCTGAAAAAGTTAAATGAATTTAAAATCGGTATTAAGAAAACTTGACTTCATGTGATGTCAGCCAACAAGATTGTCTTTTACTGCTACATTTTTATTTTACGTAAGATTGTCGATTATGTGAATATTAAAGTGAGTAATATATATGTCTCTATTTATGAAATTAATATCGCTTTAACGAAAAGAAGAATTCAGCGCGATTTATTATATTTAAAGATATCTTAAATTCTAAAGATTCAATGATGATAAACAAAAATATTAAAAGATCTTAAAAGGACTTCGTGTTGAAAGAAAAATAACTTTGACCAACACTGATTGATTGTTTAAAGGAAAATATCCGTTAATATCTGTCAGAGAACAGAGTACACCATGACAAAATGTTGTTATTAGTTCATTTACTCCTTAATTACTTTAAAAAAATTGTTGTTATGTATATATGCTTAATAAATAAACGTATAATTTTTTATCCACTATTAATTTCAAAAGTTTTATGAAATCATTCTCTAGCAAGCATTAATAGCATTAATTCTAATCATTTTATAGCATTTTAATTCAGTTTTATTATATTTTTTAAGAATGATCATGGAGATAAATATTAAAATAAAACTATATTATTATTGCCATATTGTTAAAAATGAATTGAAAAAATAGACGGAAGGTTAGGCTGGATACTAGTGCGAGCCTAATTTTAAGCTCGATTAGTTTGCTACGTTGTGTACGTGTTTTATTAAATTTTGGGCCGTGTTATTACGAAAGTTTTCGCTGTTATAAACTAACGGAGGGCTCGAATCGACACAAGTTGGAAATACACCGTTGGCTTGTTAGTTGCGGGCGGCCGGAGGAAAAGATTTATGGAGGTAGCCGCCTCGTCCTAGCCCGAACTGACTGGCCCTGGGGAAACCTTTGTGCAGCGCTAACGACGTCGGTTCGAATATCTAGCACAATTTACACCAGATACCGTACAATGCGAATGTACAAATTTATAATAATTTACAGTTATAATTTTTAAAGCGATATTTTTGGTAGTTCATAAAGTATTGTATTCTTTTAAATTTACTAAGCACATTTTTTATTTAATAATAATTTTGTATATTAATAATTAGTCGGGTAAGCTTTTATTTTAATAAAAAGTATTATCATTAAAAATCTTGCAATGCCAGAAGAACATTCTTTTACTCATAAAGTGCTTGAGCACTATCACCCACCTCATCCACCTTATTTTAAATTGACATGTTTGTGTTAGATGACATTGTCTTAGATAATGAACGAACTACCTAGATAACAGCCTTTATGGGCGTTTTCAATATTCTACCTACCTAATTACCCAGATTTGGTTAATAGAGATGAAATTCAAACATAAACATACGTTTTATGGAGCTAATTGTCAAATACCAATCGCTAGTAACTTAGTCTACAGAGTAATATATAATATTGAAACCAGTCGTTAAAGACACTATGATCGGAGGGAAAAACTGGCGCAGGCAAACAGTAATACTCATTTGATGTAACTATTATGAAATTCTTCGTTCATGTGTTGAATGTCAACAACAAAATAATAGATTAAAAAACAAATTTTATAAATAGCAAGAATAAAACACGACTACTAGTATGCCTACGTTAAACGTCAGAAAGCACTCAGATTTTATTATGCCGCTGTATGAAAGACTGCGTCAATTAAACAAAGACGTTGGTAAAGCATTTGTAATTGAACACTGTCCATAGCTTTAGCTATAAGTTCAAGTCAAAGCAAAGAACTAATGAAATAAGCGAGCAAACTCAACCTAGACGTCATTCGAGCGCTTATCTGGAAAATATACTGGCTGGCTGACATTACCATCCTCGCCTTGCAAATAGCAGCTCATTTGCCAGTCCATTTAAAAACGTCGTCAAGGAGTATTAAACGTGTTTTTAGAGTTTTCAATTTAATGACGGAACAATATCTATTTTATTTTACGTATCACTTTTTTATTTAACTATTGCGAATGTGCCATAATAAATTAAAGGCATAGTTTCCTTTTAATTAATAATTTTACTTTCGACATTAACCTTCATTAACTTGTCCATTGTTATTTACTACACATATAGTTCTTGCAGTGTAGGATTTCGATTGCATTCTATCGATAGTAAGTAGTCACTTAAGTAGTGTTACTTAAGCAACTACTTAGCTTCATTAGCACTTAGGCATCGTTAGGCGTCTCGTTGTAGTAACGAAAACAGGTCTTATGCCTATCATATCAAGAATGTACTAATAGGCACTTTCTACTTCCTTGATCAAATTTCAATAATTATGATAATTAGAGATAAAAACGTGCATATGCTTGGCTGTCGATTTCAATCAAGGACCTAAGTTGACTTCGATATAATAAAAGTTATAATGGACCTAGAATAAGCGTATTAAGGCTTAGAATCGTTGATTAAATGGAGTTCTGGAATCAACAAACTAACCATGACAAATTTTAATCATATACATGCTACTCGTTTGACGTAACCTGTAAACGAATAAAATTGAAAAGTGTGTATGTTTATGTATGTTCTGTTAACTTCGATGTGGTAAACACAAGAAAATAATTTACAATGTAAATGCCTAATGTAAGGAATTTTCTGTTTCGCGTATTTGCATCAAATGTTTAGTTTTGTCATTGTTTTAAAGTAGTGAAAGGCTAGGAAAATTAAACATAGTGGACCGTGTACTGCTGACATGGAGATCAATCGTGTTTCCATTGTACTAAGGATCAAATCAAATGTCTTTACATATATATACACGTATAAACCAAAGAGAAAATACAGAAAAAATAATTGATAATATTATTCATAAATTCACCGCATAATAACAAAAAAACAATATCGACCCTTGCCAGTTCCAGCTTGATGTAAAATAAATTATGGAACGAAACTACAAAGGGTAATCTTTGATCAAAACAGTCTCTTTGCAGGTACTAAGATAAAATCAATGAACTTCACCCGACCAAGAGTGACTCCAGTGCCCACCCACAGAGAATATCTCGTGACGGTGGGGATTACCTTTGTTTGTTCCCTGAGTCGGTACAAAGCGAACAGTCTATTGACATTGAATGTCACTGTAAATACTCGGTGTACCTTTATTTACTGAGTGGACGTATTATCTACGCCAGGGCACTCTATGTGAAGGCCTCTATATAACGATGTGAAATGTAGAGTCAAATATTTGAGTTATTTCTATTTG